TATATATATATATATATATATATATATATATATATATATATATATATATTAGAGGTGTAGCGGATATGATTTTTTACATATCCGGCCGGATACGGATATGCCTGATATGCTAAATATATTAAATATTGTAGGAGAATAAGAGGACAGGGTTTTTTAGAGGTGCCCCCCTCCCCAGTGATGACTACCTAACTGTTGCCGTGACCAAGATTCTTAAATATTACTTATGTTTGAGTTTATCCAGTTTTATCTGAACATAACTTAGACCATTAAAAATGATAGACGCGGCCTTTGCTATATAATGCTAACCTAAAAGTGAAGCCAAAAAAGTTTTGCTTGGAGACATCAGTCTGTGGCAAAAAATACAATTCCACAAAAAGATTTAAAAGTGGTACAGATATATTATTTCAAGGATAAGAGTTTGTACCTAGTGGTACCAATTGAAGTGCAAATTTTTAATTCAGTAAAAAAATTTAAGAGAACATGTTTTTAATGCAAGAACAAATGTAATATATATTATATGCATGTTATGTTTTAGTTAAAATGCTAAAGTACACATTAATAAAGAGAGTCCTCGAAATAACCCCCTTTTGCCCGTATGCACGCCTCCAGTCTTGGACGCCATTCCTCGATTGATTTACGCACAGTATCCATGGATAAAGCATCCCATTCTCTGAGAAGTGATTGCTTGAGGGCATAACGTTTTTTGACAGAACCATTATCATTATATCGCTTAATAGTACAATAGACAAAATCCTTTGATATTCCTTTATGCTGCAGCATTTTGAAAATCTGATACGGTTTTCTCTTCCCGTCTAATAATGCTATAACTGCACACCCCTTTCCTTCCATACTATCCATTATGAAAAAATCTATAAATAAACACACAAATAAATTAATAAATTCCAGGAATCTATTCAAACAATACAAATAAATGCGGGAACTATATAAAAAGCACATGCCTGTTAACATGACAAGTTTAAACAAACTTCGCACTTCAATTGGTACTACAGGGTATTAATTACAATAGTAATTAATAAATAGTTTTTTAAAAAATGACATAGGAATTACTATATTTAGTCTTTATTAGAATATATCACATAAAAAATATTCTATATATTTTTAATAAAAAGAATTTTTCTAAAAAATTTAAATAAAATTTTATTTCTAGTTTGTTTTTTTTAGTTTTTTGCCACAAAATGGCGTCACATTCGCTAAAAGATTTTGGTTTTTAACGATTTACGAAAACGCCGCATCTATCATTTTTAATGGTCTAAGGAGTTGGTTTAAAATGGTGTCTCTTTGTAGGTATTCTAGGAACTTTTAAAATAGAAGAATTTCACTATGGGTGTAACTAAAGTAGCGTACGCTACATTAATTAACCTGAATATATAAAAAAAAAATTTATTTAGAACAATTATTTTTAAGATTTTAATAAGCTTAAAGGGATCCCAAACTCCCAACACATGTTGTGTTCATATTAAAGATAATGTTAAAAAAAAAGGTTTGAACCAAATTTTTTTGATTAAAAATAAATAATGAATGCATACCGTGAAAAACAAATGTTGTTGTTTTTGCCGAAGCTCGTCTTCTCCATTTTTTTCAACTAATCGGAGTCTTCAAATTATGCGTCGCAATCTACAGACTTTGGCAATTCCTTTGAAGCGCGTTTAATTCATAAAAGTTTTAGTATTTGACGTCACGGTAGACTTTTAACAAAAGAAACTCTGGAAATATTTTTATTTACTTTTAGTCGAAGTTTTTTTGATTATTTGTTTAGTTTTTTTTTTTTCTACTATTAATATTTAAAAAGATATTAAAAACCTTAAATATTTTATGCTGGTTCGTTGCTATAAATTGTTATTGCGCCATATATTTAATGTTTATAAATTATGAATATTTATTATCTCAAAAATTGTTTTACATTAATTACCCATATAAAATTAGTAACAGCTTTATTATTTGATTAGACGATATTTCGTTTCAATTTGCTTTGCATGAAGTTCGGAAAGCCAAACGAAAAAAATTAGTTTAAATAATCACGTCGAAATATATTTAAAACAAATTATTTTAATGACAGGGGTACTAAAGTTTTTTATAACAAATGTAGGTAAAAAAAAAATAACTAAATAAAAAGTTCAGTATTAAACACCATTTCTTTATTATATTGCAACTGTAAATATTGAATTATTAACTTGAACTAAATTTACTTATTATTTAGAACGACTAAGCAATAAAAATTAAATGCCTCTAATATTATGCGAGATTGTGTTGTTTATTTGATAACTGTTGTTGGTAATGTTGTTTATGTTGATTATTTTTATAAATATCAAAATAGTTCCAGATTAATCTGTTCGTTGCTTTGCTCATTGTTAATTTATTTCTAATTTAATTTTATCTCAAACTATAATTATATATTAAAAAATATAAGTTTTTATTTCATCGGGCGCTCTTTTTATAAAAGAGTAGAACAAAAGAGAAAGAAAAGTTTCGCGCAATTAAACTTTGAATGAATAAAAGTTGTAAAGAATATATTTTTTTTTGCGTTACTCGTTCTTTTTTTAGATGGGAGAAATAAAAGTTTAATAGCTCAATTTTCTTTGAATAAATGAGAATTGGAAGAGAAAATTGCTTGAAAATTTGTATTTGTTAATTGTGTTTTTAAAAATTTTTAATTTTTCATGTTAAGAGACAAATGCCAATTACGACACACAATTGTGTTATTTAATAATAATTTGTCCGTATTTTGGTTAAATATTAGTTGAATAAAACAGGTAAAAATATACAAACTTCATGTTTTTTATTTGATGGTTATAAAATATTGAACAGTAAACTTATAATCAAGATTTATAATGCCGACTTGTGTTGCAATTAATTGTACTTTTAATGCAAAATTAGGATCTCACATATCCTTTCACGAATTTTCATATCTGATACTACTGTCAAGTGTTAAAAAAAAAGTACAAAAATACACTAAACTATTGTTTAGTGTATTCTTGTATTTTTTTTCATAATCTTAACAGGTTCTAATTGGTATGGAGTTGCTGACATTTTAAAAATTTCATTATCAAAAATCAAATGTAAAATAAAATGGTATTTCCTTTTTATCTGTATCCAATTCAGCAAATATAGCAATTTAAATTAAATCAGCGTGATTTAATTTAAATTGCTATATTTGATGTAAAAATTGCTATACGTGATGAAAAAGTTAACAATTCATTAATCTCTAATTAATACTGTTAGTTTATGAAAGTAATTGTTAATAAATACTTTTTTTCAACGGGAAAACAAAAAATTGTCATAGCGTAAAAATAACCAGAGAAGTTAGAAAATAGTTCCCATTGTTTAAATAAAAATAATTAAGAATCAGAATATATAATACTGCGCTCTCTTGCGCTAAAACAAGAGACCGTATATAAAACGTTCTATATAATGTAAAATACTCGTATGAAAATCATGAGATTGGTAAGTAAAGCTTTAATATTTGTTTTAATTTAATTAATTAAAGAAATATAAGTAAGATATATAAATCTAAAAATTATTAAGATATCTGTAAAAAATAAGTTGCTCCTATAAAATAAAAATAATTTATTGTTTTTACTTTTTACAAATTTTTTTTGCGATGTTAAGAAAATAATACAAATAAATTTGTTTTGCTGTATGGTAAAAAAATACTACAGTAGAAAAACGCAGCTTAGTTTAATTACACTTTTCTTTTGTTAAAAGTCTATCGTGACGTCAAATACTAAAACTTTTATGAATTAAACGCGCTTCAAAGGAATTGCCAAAGTCTGTAGATTGCGATGCATAATTTGAAGACTCCGATTAGTTGAAAAAAATGGAGAAGACGAGCTTCGGCAAAAACAACAACATTTGTTTTTCACGGTATGCATTCATTATTTATTTTTAATCAAAAAAATTTGGTTCAAACCTTTTTTTTTAACATTATCTTAAATATGAACTCAACATGTGTTGGGAGTTTGGGATCCCTTAAAGGTTGCAAATATTACATCTATAAACAATGCTACGCAAAAGGGTGAAAGAGGAGGTCAAGGTAACAAGGAGAAAAAGAGACAAGAGGGAGATACAATATATCTGACTAAGTTTGAAAATAACTTAAAAAATGTTAACTTTTATATAAAAGTTAACATTTTTTAGAGGTTAGAATTATTTTGTTCTATCTCTACATTTTTGAGTTTTAAGATAAAACGAATTAAAAAGTAAAAACTTTAGAAGACGGCATATAAAAAGATTTTTATTACTAATATTTTCTCTCAAACTTTTTTGATTTTAACTGGAGATAAAACAAAATAATTCTAACCTCATGATTTTTTAAGTTAGTTATTTTCAAACTTAGTTGTATATATCTATAATAAATGTAGCTATAATTTATGTATATATATATATATATATATATATATATATATATATATATATATATATATATATATATATATTTATATAATTTATGTATATATATATATATAAAGTTTTCATTTCTTTTTTTCGTTTTCCAAAATTTAGAAGTGATTAGTGAATTATAGTAAAAAATTAGTGAGCAATAGTGATAAAATGTTCATTCATTTAAAAGTGAAATTAGCGCGATTACTATATTATTTCACTATAATACTTAATATTTACTTTTAATAATTAAATTACTCAAAAAAAGTTAGTTCCTAATTGTTATAAAAGTATGAACACTAGTGGGATAAGAGATAATCACAAAAATTACATATCCGGCTGTATCCGACAAGATATATGATATATCTGGCCAGATACCAGTTACCGGATTATCCACCATTTTTGCCCGATTATCTGGCCGGATATCATATCCGGTAACCTCTAATACATATATATATATATATATATATATATATATATATATATATATATATATATATATATATATATATATATACATGAGCACCGGCAAATTAAAAATATGAAATTTAGACCAAAAATCACAATTAAACTATAATAAATATATAATAAAACATTCTTACTGAGAAATTTTTGTGAGCGTAACACTTTTTTGAACACAGGCATTGATAAATTACAAAATGAACAACCACTTTGTATAAAAATGATCTGAAATAAAAAAAAATGATTTTTTAAATATTTAATTGAAAATTTAAAAATAAAAATTTTTTTTATTGCTTTACTCACAAAAATAAGTCTACTAGAACGAACAAACTCTTCAATAGGCAGCTGTTTATTTTGCTGATTGAAAACTTGATACCATGTTTTCTCAGTGATAAACTCTGGCTGTCGCTTTTTTTTAACCTAAAATTGTAAATATGGTTTAATTTAATTCGTAAAAGGTAATGCACTGCGATTTTATGTTTATGAACTCTAGTTAAAGAATATAAGCCAACTAATTCAACATTTGACTTCAAGACATACAGACTCGCAATTTCTAAATACTGAACAACAGAAGCAATACCTAATGCAAGTTGTATCAAAGTATGAGAGGAAGCTTTAAGAAAATATATTAGCTTTAGCACAAAGATAAGATGTAAGGTGTAAGTTTTGTATGAACTGTTTTTTAAATTATTAAGCATAATCTTTCAAAATTTCCATTCTATTGTATGTATTTTGTTTTTCAATGGATGGGTACTTCCACTATTTAAAAAACTAAAATGTGATGCTGGTGTACCTCCCTGGGTGTCAAAGAAATCAGAAAATTTCCAAAGTATGATTTTACTCAAAGTTTTAACATTCTTTAATTTTCAATTGGCCCACCCCAAAAATTTTCAATTGGCTAACCCACCTCACAAATTTCATTTTAAGTGTTTTTATACTTAAAATCAACAGATAGTTACACAATGCTAGGTTAAGATGAATTTTGCTATCTTTTAGAATGTTTAATGTGAACTCAATGTTTTTGTATCTAATAACTTAAAATTAAAATCGCAAGGAGAGGTAGCAGCAGAAAAACAAAGCAAAAATTAAAATTAAAAGAAAAAATTAAAAAAAATTAAAAGGGGAAGTTAAAAAAAACATTCAGAGAATGTGGTAAATTCCTCTAGAGAATTTTATACACCAACCTTACATTCAACCTTATCTTCAACCTTACACTTAACCTTATCTTCAACCTTACATTCAACTTTATCTTCAACCTTACATTCAACTTTATATTCAACCTTACATTCAACCTTATCTTCAACCTTACACTCAACCTTATCTTCAACCTTACATTCAACTTTATCTTCAACCTTACATTCAACCTTATCTTCAACCTTACATTCAATCTTATCTTCAACCTTACATTTAACCTTATCTTCAACCTTACACTCAACCTTATCTTCAACCTTATATGGATTTAATAATTTAAGCTTGATCACTGCACCTTAGAGGCAAAATTAAAAATCTGGACTAAATTCAACATCATGCAACTAAAGTAAGAACCTCTCTGTGACACCATACTTGTGAAAAAAAGACTGGAAGCATTTGGATTGATAAGGCTAAAAGAAATGAGAAAAAGTTTAGATACAAATTTGAAAATCAACCAAGGCTTGAAATAGTAAATTTTTATGCACAACAACATTATCTCCACTCAATAACAACGTCATGTGACCTATGAAAGAACCATGATATATCCTTAAACCACAGCTAGTCACAACTGTATTGATAAATTCTATTTTATCACAAAACCTGTTTGTGCACCATGGAATGTGCTTACCAGCAACACCGCCTACTTGAAATTGGTCAACATTTTTTAATTTGGATTACAATATTAACCAATTTACAATTAAGGCAATTATATAAATCAAACTCATCAGAACACTAAGACTTGGCAACAAGATTTGTCAAAGTTTAAAAAATATGATTTCTCAACTAAATAATAATAATAATATCATACTTCTTGTAAAACAATAATATTATATTTCTTGTAATAATTTTGGTTACTGAATAAACTTAACATAATAAACTAAAAATTACAAATAAAAAAACTTTGAAACATGTTTTAATTGGCTTAGAAGGAAATGAATTATAAGATAAAACTTAAGGCCTGATGTTTTAAAAATCTCTGATTTACAAAATACATTTTAAACCCTAACTTTTTTTTTCTTTAGTCGAAAGTGTATTGTGAAAGAATATTTTTAGAAATAAAAAAAATTTATTAGAAACCACAAATAAACTAATTTCATTAGATAATATTTACATAATTTATTTACATAAAATTATTATCATATTTAAATTTCTTAGTGTAAAGATCACTAAAAAACATTAAAAAAATTAACATTTTTGCTATATTTAAGTTCATATCAAATATTTAAAAACAATTTTTTTTCAAATTATATATTAAAAAATAACTAAAAAAAAATTACTTTAGTTATATTTTTTTGTCTTTCAAAAATCGGAGCCACCATTTCAATAACTTGTTCGTTAAAATAAGAAACTTCTGTTTCATTAACACTGCATACCTATAATTATTTTTAAAAAGTAAAAACATCTTATTTTATATTAAAAATATTTGAGTAGAATCTAATAGCTGGAGAAACAATAAAAATTTTAAGATTGTATTATAAAGATGAGAAATATGTTTTGAAAAAACTTTAATAGAGTCTAACATTCCATTTTTCAAACATGTTCTTTGATTCTATGGTTCTGAAGTTATTACCTTTCCAAAGATAAGCAGAATTGATTACAAAGACCTTTTTTTCTAATTAGTTAGGATCTAAGGTTAGTCACTTGCTATTTTGTGCAACTGTGCTTGCCACTGTGCAATTATGCTTTCCATTGTGCATTAGTGCTTGCAATTGTGCTTGCCATTTTCTTACTTCTTAGCCTTCACACTTAACTTTTTCTACATCTTTTATCCATTCTTATTGAGCCTGTATTAAATACTGTTGTTATATTTAAGAAATAATTCCAAAACATTAACCTTGAAAGTGAAACAGCTGTGTATCAAAATACACACATTACTAGGAACAAAGTGGGCTCAATTGGAGGTAAAGGTTGCTGGTTGTTTAATTTATCTTTACGTTAATTGAAACAACCAGCAATAACATAATAAAATGTTTCTTCAATGTTAAAAAAATTCAAGTCAGCCATTAATTAAATTTGATTTGTTAACTTAAAAATAATAATAGTGAAATATAATTGTAAAACCATCAAAACACTAACTTTAATGCAACACAACTTTAACACATAACTTGGTAAAAATAAAAATACCTTTCTAGCTGTAATTTTATCCATTTTCAATAAACCATGACCATTTAACAAAACTTCAAGATTATGAGGTGTTGGTGCGATCTGCGAAGTTATAACCTTCTGTTTTGTAACTTGATTGCCTTTTAAAAAGACACTAAATATACATTCGACCATATAACACATAAAAAAAATACTAAATATAGATACTACATAAATAAACAATAAACCCACTAATATATATTATAGATTGTTTAGCAAAAAAGTTTAATAAGATATATTGTTAATTAAAAACAAAAATACCAGAAATTTCCTCATTCCAAAATGCCACAATAAATGGAAGATTATCAACATTGTAAACTTTTAAATTTCGCATAAGCACTGAAAAATAAAAGTTAAGAATTGTAACTATTGTTGGTAGAAAAAAAAATTTATATATATATATATATATATATATATATATATATATATATACATATATATATATATATATATATATATATATATATATATATATTATATATATATATATATAAATTATATATATATATATATATATATATATATATATATATATATATATATATATATATATATATATATATATATATATATATATATATATATATGTATATATTATATATATATATAAATTATATATATATATATATAATATATATATATATATATATATATAAATTATATATATATATATAAATTATATATATATATATATAATATATATATATATATATATATATATATATATATATATATATATATATATATATATATATATATATATATATATATATGAACAAATAAATAACATGATAATATTTCAAGTAAACAATAAAAATAACATTTGCACCAATTGAAATCTGTCTGTCAGCAATATCAGCAGCAACAAAAAGTATCTCAGGATACTTTGACTTGAAATGAACCATACTGCGTTGATATGCATGTAAAAAATTAAAGGATGAAGAATTTGAAGATGTAAAGATGCAAACAAGTAGAGTTGTTAGTGATATTCTGCTATTCATCATTTGATCCAACTGATCCTTATAATAAAAAATAATCCTCAAGTATTAGAACTTAATAACGAAAACCTGTTGTAAATAAAGTTTTAGTAATTGATATTATTTGTAGTTAATAAATTTACTATAAAAAATATAGCAATATTATTATAATATTGAGTTTAAAATAAAAACAAAATTTATACATATCTATTATATCCAATCCCACAAAAAATTAAATATAACCATACCTGATCTGAATGCTATCTTATTAGAAAAACTACTTTAATTAAGTTGTAGAATATTTTTAAGTTGGTTTGTTAGTTTAAATATGTTTTATTAGTAGTATTATTATCTGATTGTATTGGTACCTGATCTGAATGCTATCTTATTAGAAAAACTACTTTAATTAAGTTGTAGAGTATTTTTAAGTTGGTTTGTTAGTTTAAATATGTTTTATTAGTAGTATTATTATCTGATTGTATTGGTACCTGATCTGAATGCTATCTTATTAGAAAAACTACTTTAATTAAGTTGTAGAGTATTTTTAAGTTGGTTTGTTAGTTTAAATATGTTTTATTAGTAGTATTATTATCTGATTGTATTGGTACCTGATCTGAATGCTATCTTATTAGAAAAACTACTTTAATTAAGTTGTAGAGTATTTTTAAGTTGGTTTGTTAGTTTAAATATGTTTTATTAGTAGTATTATTATCTGATTGTATTGGTACCTGATCTGAATGCTATCTTATTAGAAAAACTACTTTAATTAAGTTGTAGAATATTTTTAAGTTGGTTTGTTAGTTTAAATATGTTTTATTAGTAGTAATATTATTAAGTATTTTATTTTTTATGTAATTATTTTTGTATGTACTTTTATATTATCTTATAGGTCATTGTTGACTGGTAAAAGAAAAATTTTAAATTTATTTTTACTTGTTATTAGTCACTTTATTAATTGAAATACCATAATAAATGATTGAAGTTAGGACAATATTAAATTGAATTTACTCAAAAAGTATTTAATCAATTTTAAAAACTTTTTTTATGATGATGGTTACATAACTGGTTTTTCATGAGTATACATAGTTATGATTCATGTGTGAATATTTAAGTTTACATCTGATTAGTTCTTAGAATGAAGCACTAACTCTTTTTCTTTTGAAGTATTTTTTAAAGTAAGTTTTTTTTGTGTGTAACTTTTCAATAATTTCAAAATTATGTTACGTTTCAAAATCAACTGCAGAAGTTGTCATGAAATGTTATGAGGAGTATAAAACTATAAGCAGAAAACCAGCAAGAAATGAAAAATCAAGATTTTTTGACAACAAGAAGTCATTAATCAGTTCAATTCATCACTAAATAGTCAACTTTATCAGATAAAATAATATTAAGCACCTGAAAAGTTTGAGTACATTAAGTGAAAATATTTGACAGTATATGAAGTAAAACTTTTAAGATAATAGCCAGTACTTTACAAAAAAAAATTATGCATTAGAACTTATTCGAGCTTTTTATTAGATAGTTTATCCCTAATATATTAACAATTTTATTTGCTATTATTATTATTTTTTTAGATTAATAATTTATTGGTAAATTAAATATTTAAATTTTAAAATGGAAGTTAGATTAGAGACAATGTCCTTGTCTATCATAAATTCTGATTTTTTTAATGCAGTAATAATAATAACAACAAATTTTATGGATATTAAGTGAGACCTTAATTACATAATATAGATTAAACATAAAAGTAAGATAAAAAATAATAAAAGATATTATTTTATTTATCTAACTTAAAAGTAAAGCAATGTTATTTATCATGTTAATAATATTTCAGTATGTTTTTTAAATTTGATTTCAAAGAAAAACAAATATATTTATATGTCTTTTTAACTCATTAAAAAACTCTATTAAATGAAATTAACTATTTTACAATTTTTCCGTCCAAAATAAATGTGACAAAGAAACATCTTTATTATAAAGTATAATAAATTTGTCAATAACTATTATTACAAATGCCAGAACATCACGGTTTTTATTTAACTACTTTGTTGCACCACCTCTTGGTTTTACGACTGTCTTTAAACGCCTTTGCTTGCTTTTTATAAGCTTTAACATAATGTCAGCACCAATTGAATTCTAAGTTTTACTAAAAACCTTATAAACTTTTTTTTTATTTGTTAGTTTTGAAGAAAAAATTTTAGATTTTAAAAATTGCCCATAACTTTTAAATGGGGTTAAGGTCCATGCTTTGTGACAGCCATTTAAGGTTAACACTCAGACCATAAGTGAGCCACATCCATGCTTGACAGTATTTTTAAGATTTCTTTCTAAGAGTGCATCACAAGGTCTGTGCCAAATTTTGTTTTTTTTTAAAGCCAAATATTTGAAATTTACTGTGTCAGACCATAACACTGAGTTCCAAAATGCATCACCCTTGTTAATAAGCAGTTTTGCAAATATATTAAACGTTTTTTTTTTTGTTTATACCATTAATGAAGGGTTTTCTGAAGACGGTTTATTAAACCACTTGAATTTTAAAACATATAATTTAAGATTTTCAACAACCAGTCTTATCAGAGGTTATTGTTAAATTTTTCTTTGCTATCTGTGCAATTAGCATACCAGTTCTGGTTAAAGTCTTAGGAGGGCAAACAAGTCTTTTCTAACTTTAAACAGAACCAGTTGTTTCATATTTTGTACACATCTTTCTAACACTACTTATTTATATTTAATATATCTCAGTAAATTTTTTGTAGGTTTGGCTACATTTTTAAAACGTGTTTTAGTAGTAAAAGTACTAAAACACATTTTATACTGTGACTTCTGTATTCTTTTATATTCATTTAAGTTGTTATTTGAACTAAAACATTTTCTAGTAATAAATGAGTACACTTGCGTTTTGGCTGTAAATATTGGGTGATCCAACCTTTTAAGTGATAAAAGTAATTTTAACTGCTTTTTAAGTAAACTCTCATATAAATTTTAAAACAGAGCTTATTGAGAAAAAACTGAAAAAATTGTAATAACAACATACTATTTTTAGTTTATTTAACATAGTTAAAAAAAGTAACAATAACAACATACTATTTTTTAGTTTATTTAACATGGTTAAAAATAGTAAAAATATAATAATAAAATAATTAAAAATTAAGAATAAAATAATAAAAATAAAAATCTCCATTTTCAATATTTTGTTTTGTGAAACTAATATTTTGCATCTTATTTGATATTTTGACTTATGGTGAAGTGTTGATACTCTGGATTTTGATATCTTGCTGGGTGGAATGATATTTTGTAATGTGACTGTATTTAATTGATTTTATGAATAAAAACATACAGTGACTAGATTTAATAGGTAGAACATGCAGGGAGTGTACATACATCAGGGTAAAGGTTAGGGTACATACATCAGGGTAAAGGTTAGGGTATATACATCAGCGTAAAGGTTAGGGTACATACATTAGGGGGTAAGGGTTGGCATTAAGATTGTTATTTTTTTATTTATTTTGCTATTGTTAACTATAATCCAGAACTTGTTTGATGTATGTACACTCCCTCCCAAGACAGTCGATGTATGTATACATTTTACATGTTTATCCAAAAATATTAGGAAACTAATATATCGTGGCATGGTAACTATAGTAAAAATGATTATAACAACTATTATTATAACTGAAAGGACAGCTTTTATTATTAATAATAATAATCAATAACTAAATTGAATTACTTGATTAGGAGAAACAGCAGCTAGACTTTGTAAAAAAAAATGAAGTTTAAGAAACACATCAGTTGCTTGGTATGGTCCATGAAATGATTTAAATAGTTTGAACTTCTGCTGGCTGTCTAAGTTAAAAAAAGAAAAATATGATGAATTTTTTTGAACATAAATTAATATACATTAACATATATTAACTTTCCTTTTTGCTTTTATGAAATTGTAATTAAATCAGTATTTTAAAAATAAAATTTAAAGATTGAATAATGAAACATATTTGGTATCATACTATTAATATTTGGTATCATACTTCTAATTCTTTTATTTGTATTTATTAAAAGTGATATTTTGGCTCATATAGTAAAAGCCATGATCAAAATAAAAATTAAAAAAACGGTATAAAAGAATAGTTTTAAACATAATTAAAAAGACTTGCAACAAAAATTTTCAAAAATTTTACAATGATGAGTCATCACTAAATTACCATTGTCACTATTTAAAATATATTGACTAGATTTTGAAAAATTTCAAGTGTTGTATTTCAATAGCCTCACAAAAATTGTATTTCGATGGCCTCACAAACGTTATATTTCAATGGTCTCACAATTTTTTCTGTAATTTATTAGTTTTTTGTATTTGAGGTTTTTTTGTAGTTAAACTCTGTGTAGTTGTTTGGAACAACAAAAAGCATTTTAGAATTTAATAAAGATTCCAGTTTAATAAAAAATATTAATAAAAAAATTAATTTCATTTTGAATGTTATGTTCAGAACATGATTTATATGCCCATCTAAAAAAGCTTTGAAAATACTAATTGCTATACCCAATAAAATTGACAAAATAGCAGCCATGAAAGGAAAAGTCATACCTACCTCCTAAGAAACCGGACAAAAATCGGAGAAATCGGACAACAGCTCAAGATCAGTGAATGCAGCATTAGAACAGCGCTCAAAAACTATAAAGAATTTGACACAGTTGAAAAAAAAAGTGGCTCAGAACGCCCTAAAAAATGTCAGAAAGGGATAAAAATAAAGCAATTATGCTTGTTAGAGATAACCTGAATATGAGCATATCCAAAATTGTCTTAGACCTGAATACAACAATGGATGCACACTAAGTTAGCTGATCAGCAAACTGATGAAGAAAAAATAACTTAATTTTACCTTCCAACAAAGAAGCCACTACTAAGCATCCAAGACTGTCTTTGAATAAAAGAAAATGGTTAAAAGAAAGAGCTGCATGAACTGTAGAGCAACGAGTTGAAGTTTGAACTTATCAATCGGAAGAAAAAGAAATTTTAGTGAGGAGATAAAATACAATCAAAATAAATAAAAAAATACAATCCTTGTTTTATCATGACAAAACTTCAAGTAGGAGGAAACTATATTGACTAAAAAAATTAAATGCCAATTTGGGGCTGCATAAACTCTATTCTATACTACCCCAAATTAGCATTTGGGACTGCAATACTGGGTCTAGCACTAGCCTGGCACATATTGACACTGACCACCTCAGCCAACATTGGTATCAAGAGATATTAAAGATTATTTACAGCCTTCGATGGACATTTTCAAAACTGACTCCACTTGGCAATATCAACAAGATAATGCTCCTTGCCACACAGCACACTCAATCAAGTAATACATGGAGTAAAAATAATTTTGATGCCTTAACTCCCTTGCTCACCTGATTTGAATCCTTTTGAGAACCTTCAAACTCAAATGGATTTCAAATTGCAAACAAGCAAGTCCACTAACTTGCAGTGGCTCAAGACTTAAATGCAAGCATTATAGAATGTCATAACACAAGAATAATCAATAAACTTATAGATTCCATGCCATGTAGTGTATTGACACGCTTTAATAACAAAGGTGACCATACAAAACTTTAAATTTTCTTAGAATCTTTGAAAGATAGATTATATTTTTGCACACCTTTTTTAATCTTATTTTTGTCACACTTATTGTATTCTAAATAAATTAAAGATAAAAATAAAGAAACATTTTTTTACATTTGACACTGTAATTCTGTTTTCTTTTATCAATAAAGTAAAAAAAAAAAAAAAGATTTATCAATCTTTTATTTTTAAACAACACTCATTTGAGGTTGACTAAAATAAAAAAATTACCTATTACTTTTACTTATAAGTAAAAAAAATTTTACTTGAAAGACAAACAAAACTAATTTTTAAAAATTTAAAAGAAATGGTTTTTAAGATGATTTGTTTATGAAACAATGTAGTACTATTCCACAGTTTAAGGGTCCCCTACAAATCATGTATCAGGTATCATATACTTGCTAATTAAAAAAATAATCGCTTTAACTCTAGTAACAAATAATTTTTAAATAGTGTTGATTAATAGAGTAAAAAGCTTATAGTCTACAAAATCATAGTACTTACTGATAGACACATTGAATAACTTAAAAACTAATAAATTACTTAGTCATCAAAAAAACACAAAAATTTAACCTCTCACATGTCTAATGATATTAAACGATATAATTTTTTGTCAAAACATAGCATTAGTAGTAACTGTTTCACTATATAAAAGAAGTTGTAACTACTTAAAGTTTCTCTACAATTGCAATGTTTCACGGTGCCCTATGTTGTATCATGGTACCCCAATTTCAACCCTCTCTTTCTTTATCTCTTTCTCTCTCTCTCTCTCTCTCTCTCTCTTTCTCTTTCTCTTTCTCTTTCTCTCTCTCTCTCTCTCTCTCTCTCTCTCTATATATATATATATATATATATATATATATATATATATATATATATATATACACATATATATATATATATATATATATATATATATATATATATATATATATATATATATATATATATACATATACATACACTACTAGTGCGTGATACATTTTTTTTTTGCCTCGTTAATCGCAATTTTTATTTTTCTATTTTTACTATATTTTTCATATATGTTCTTTTTTTTACATTTTTATTTTATGTCAATTTTTATTTATTCATTTTTAAATTTATTATTTCCGTAAAAAAATTTATATTTTATAAATATTTTTATAATTTTTATTTAATTATTATCTATTATATTTTATATTTTTATATATATATTTACAAAAACGATTATTTACATAAATATAACTAACCCTAACCCTAAGCCTGACCTTGCTGCCTGGCCAAACCAAACCCTCAGTCGATGTAGCAGCACTCCTTTGCGAGGCAGGCTATTTGTCAGTCGATGTATGTACTGTATTAATATACTCAAAAAGATCTTTGCAGACTCATGCCATCCTATAACCACTAAATTAACTCACACCACCAGCAGAAACCCTATGAGATTTCTGTATGCTCTTAACACGACAAAAACTACTACTAACCAAAAATCTTTTATTCAAAAATATCTCCGTATCCTTCATAATGGCGTCAGTGACTTTTACCTCCCAAGCAATATTGGGAGCTCTACTGCCTTTTCAATGCATAATTAATGTGTTTCTTAACCTGCATTCTTAGAAAACTATTAACATTAAAGGACAGACAAAATTGTACAATTCATTACTTGTAATGCTATTCAATTTTAAATAAAGATTTATAAAATAAAAGTATATATATATATATATATATATATATATATATATATATATATATATATATATATACAGGCCTTGTGATGAATAAAAACTGCGCAACGCATAAGCACGACGTGATTTTTGACGTCATTAAATTCTTTTTATTTACTTTTCATATTTAGCGACATTAACTGCATTAATTTACTTAATTACCGCAAAACTACTTTAAATCATTAATGTAGAAATGTTATTATTTAAAAATGTTTTGGAATGTTTCGTTTTTTAAAATGTAAAAACATTTGTTTATTTTCTCGACGTTGGTCACGTTTTGTCTATACTAAACGAATATAAAACATTATAACTAAACATTTAAAAAAGATTATAAATCCTGATATTTGATTTTTTTTCTTCTCAAATATGTAATTTAAAGTTTTTCAAATAATTATTTTTTCTTTTTAAAAAGTCAGCGAGTAATAAACTGGAAATTTTAATATTGTACGATTAAAAACTGTGCAATAGCTAATATTTTTACCAGCGATTATATATAATATTTTTTTATTTATTTATTTTTATTTATTTTCATAAAGCGGTTAATAAGCACAATCACTCATATTACTAAAAAACTTTAACGAACGTTTTGAATAGATTTTTAATGTTTACAAGGAATTTTATTTCTAGTAAAATAAAATGAAATAAAATGTTAGAATAAAAATTTTTGCGCAAATAAAATATTTTTATTTGCGCTTACCATTTTTTTAAATGTTTCCTCGAAATTACTCTTAAATACTTTAAATACATCAAACAGTTAATCAATATTTTTAAATCTGTGGAATAATTTTAAAACATAACAAACCCCCGTAAAATAATTATTTAAGTTAAAAATCTAAAACTAAAAGAAAGTATTTTTGTTCAACTTTATCGACAACTTTGCTATTGCTGAATAATTTATTAAAATGTTAGCTTAAAAAGATTTAAACTTTTTTTTTAATCTGAACTTTTTTTACTTGTAAATAATGAGCATATTTAATTTTTTTGTAATTCAAACTTTTATATCAACTGCGTGCGGTTTTTAAAATACTTAATTAAATGTTAAAATAATCGTAAATTACTTCATTCAAATTCTGCTCAAAAATATCTTTAAATATACTCAAACAAAAAATTTTTTGCTTGACGTAAATAGCCTAGCTACACGCAAAATCGCTCTTGGACGACATAAAATTCACATCGCCAAACGCTTTATCGCAAGGCCTGATATATATATATATATATATATATATATATATATATATATATATATATATATATATATATATATATATATATATATATATATATATATATATATATATAGTCATACATGGTAGTCAAAAAGTTTTTCCCATAAACTGTTGTTTTAGAGAGCGCGTTAATAAGCCTGACCAGAAAATGTTAAAAAACTTATAAAAAAATTTTTTTTTTTTTCAAATGATAGACTGCCTGCCCAAACCAAACCCTCAGTCGATGTAGCAGCACTCCCTTGCGAGTCAGACTATTTGTCAGTTGATGTAGCAGAACTCCCTTGCGAGTCAGGCAATTTGTCAGTC